TCAGAAACTCCGAATATTTTAGCATTATATTCCACTTCACAAGAGGAAGAATGCATGTGCGAAAACAATGAACTCAATATTTTTTGAAAACGAAACTGGTATTAAATAAGAACTCTATTCCGCTCTACATTACTATATAATACTTTTTACCACCTCAGATTTTCAGTCTTTAGTCCCATGACTAAACTTCCATATAAAGGATGGAATATTTTTTCTCTTTCTGCCTACACTATATAACTGTTGTCAGTTCACCATGAGCACATAGAGGAAGTGGTCCCTGGTGGTCTCCAGGGAGATTTGTGTATGACGACCTAATGGCTGCTCTGCTGTGGCACTGGTGGCAGGTGCAAGGAAGCTCAGCCAAGGAGAGATGAACCATTAGAGATATGGCTGGAGACGAGACGCCCCCTTTGTCTGGCAGTTTTTACCAGAGACTATTAATCACTCTGACAACAACAGCTCCACCGAGATAGAGAAATAAAGATAAAGAAGAGATCTCGAGTCGGTGAAACCAATTAAATGCACAGTAACTGTCTAATCCATGCAAACACAGCACTGCCAACCATTTCTTTGCTAAATGTCGCAATTTTAGCTGTTTTATAATTGGGGATTTCCAAACTGCAAAGCAATAAGCTCTAATTAACATATTCATTTTACACATTCTTTAGTAAGATTTTTGTCAGCATGTGTTATTATGGGAATGCTAATGATGGATGCAAAATGCAATACTTTGACATTTGGAGTAAGAGGGGTGACATCATTACTAATTACACTATAATTTTGGCACAGATGTACACAAATACATTATGGGCCGACAAACAGGAAGTGGTTGTGTATGCTGTTTGTGACGGTGACTGCCTACTGTATATGTGTGTGCATCCTAATTAAAAAGGAACTGTGTTCCTGCAACACACAGGACTGTCAAAACTCCTACAGATCCTCATAATGAGGAATGTGCTGATATTGACTAGAGGAGTATGACAAGGAAAATATGTTTCACGATAACAACATCTCTCCTTTCCTCCCTGTTCTGTATTAGAAGATAAAAATACTGTAAAAATGTGCTGTCTTCATCTAACAAAGAAAGAAAACACTAATCAAAAAGAAGAGCTCTTCATTACACATATGCAGCCCCATGTATTAGAAGATAAAAATACTGTAAAAATGTGCTGTCTTCATCTAACATAAAGAAAGAAAACACTAATCAAAAAGAAGAGCTCTTCATTACACATATGCAGCCCCTCTGCTGTATGTCAACTGTCATGTGCTTTTCATTTTCTAATCTCTGCAAAGAGCAAGCTGCGGTCAGAACAACCGAACATTTGTCTATTTTAAGGAGGAAAATAGTTTTCAATTGTCTTTGGTTGTGAAAGCAACCAAACCTCTTGTGGTTGTGTTCTTCCTGAAGAGGAAGAACATTTAGGGGTGGAGAAAAAACTGAGACCTCACTTAACTCTATAGCACAAACACATGTTAGCAAAACAATCAAGAAAAGTGTGCGATCTCTAGTTTCAACATCCATCCATCCATCCATCCATCCATCCAGCCGTCCAATATCAGACTGTACCAATATCAGACTGTTAGGGATATAAATTAATTTTGTCTCGTGCCATTCATGCCATTTTTCAGTATCAGACACAGCAATAATATGTTATTACACATTTACTAAATTACACACACGTGCACTGAAAAAAATAACTTGAAAAAATCCTCAGAAAAATTTGCACTAACACATTTGAAGTACATTTTAATGCTCTAATATCAAGTACTTGCTATTATCAAGTAAAATCTATTTACTACTGAAATTAATATTCATGAAGAAATCAAATCTAATTGCTTAATTATATTTAGTTAGGAAGTTTTGTTTATTTAAAGTAATTAAGTAAAGTTTATTTATTATTTTACTTTATTTTATAATGCCTTGCATTTATCAAAATATTAAGTAAATCTCTGTTTACTGAAGTAAATAAGTAGATTGTTATATATTTTTTGTTCGAGATTTCCATTTACTTTGTTTTATGAATATATATTACTCCCTATGATTATGTAAACATCGCTAATTTCTTTTTGATTAATATAACCACATAAACTATATTCATTTTGTCTATACCAGGGGTTCCAACTTTCATGTAGAGCTGAACACCTGAACACCCGAACAAGCTAAGCGCTTCGAGCGCCAGCGTTGAGAACCTCTGGTCTACAGTCATGGCCAAAAGTTTTGGCAGTGATATAAATTTTGTGTTTTGCAAAGTTTGCTGCTTAAGCTGTTGTGGTGTTCATTCACATTGTTTCTAGATTATTGTGTAGAGTGATCAGATGCATTTTAAATAATTGCTAAAAGCTTCATTGGCCAAAAAATGAACTTTTCACAAAAAAAACAAATGTCACTGTTTTTTGATCCTGACACAAAATGACCAGCTAACATTAATTGACTAATCACATCAGCAGCACATGTGAAAGTGTGAATGAGTACTTACTAGTCAGGTTAATCACTATCATACTAAATAGATTGTAAGAGCAGACTGATTGCTATAAAAGGAGGGAAGAAGCGCTTCCAATCATTGTGTTCTTGTTAGCAATGCTTATCTCCAAAGAAACATGTGCAGAGAACTAATAAGGCAAGAATGGATCGCCATCAGTCAGGATTTGGCCCAGAAGCTAATATCCAGCATGCCAGAGCGAATTGCAGAGGTTATGAAGAACAAGGGTCAATACTGTAAATATTTACTCATTATATTTTTTTGCCAATAAAAGCCTTCAAAACTTATGATATGCTTATCATTGTTTTTCTGTATACCATAGAAACGTGGAAAAAATAATCTACAAATACTGAAGCAGCAAAATTTGCAAAACACAAAATTTATGTCACTGCCCAAACTTTTGGCCATGACTGTATACCTTTATCACAAATCACACAACTAAAATAGAATTAAATAGTTTATTTTTCCAACATAAAAAAATGAATCAAAGTGAATAAAAAATAGTGAATAAAATGAATAAAAAGTAAAGTATGACTGAATGCTACTTCAAGTGTCTGCTGTTCTGTAATACAATTCAATCTCCATTACCAACATAAACTGCATTTGCTCCACCATACACAGTTTCGACCCCAGGAGGTATAAAATATAGAAAAAAATTACTTAAACAGAACAAGATGAGGTTTTAACCTGACAGAGCTAGGTAGTATTGATATAGCCAAAACTGCATCCAAAATGAAAACCATCAGTCTGTCTTCCTCCCCACACCTCAAGTGTGTATTGGAGTTAGGTCACCCTGTAAATGAACAGACACAATTTGTGATATTAAAACAATGATCTAAATAAAACATTTAACCACAATGTTATATTATGCAGTGAAGAACAGGTAAAAATAACAATAATGTTATATCATGCAATTTACAGTATGCATAGATTTATACTTACATTTACATTTAGTCATTTAGCAGACGATTTTATCCAAAGCGACTTACAAATGAGGACAATAAAAGCAATCAATCCAACAACAGAGCAATAATATGTAAGTGCTATGACAAGTCTAGCCTGAATATGAGAATTAGACAAATCACTCCTTCTATATAGTCCTCAACTTACACTCTGGCTTGTTCTGCAGTGTGTTCATAAGGCTTTTTAACCAACAAATTACAAGTTAAATACCATCATAAAGAAGCATATAACACTTTTACTAACCACTTTCTATTCACACTTTTCAACATTAGTCCTATAAAACAATCGCTGGTGGCAACAGGTACTTTAGGGTTAGGTAGTATGTTAGCTTAGCATAGCGACAAAACACGACAATTTATGGGATTACTACAATGTTGTGGCTCTAAACTCACTCTATTGCGTCAGTCGAGTGTTTGAAATAACAGAAACTAACCTTATGCTATACTACGCAAATGCTTTATTTTAGTAACGTTAGCTAGCTAGCAGTTACAACGTTTAATAATTTCCAGTAATTTCCAATCGTGCTCAAGTTTTTACTTTATGAATCTCTAAACTATTGAAAACATTTTCATTGAAATATCACTCACTGTGACCGCATGCAAGTTAACTTTAATGAGGTTATGTGAGTAAGATGAACGTTGATGTATAAACAAGAATCAAACTATCGAAATGCACACGGAGCAATGTATTACAAATCAGAAATCTAAAACAGAAAGGCAAACTTACCTTAAACATGAGAAAATCCAGCCATGCATCACCTCCATGACAAGCCCAACCGTCCCTCTCTGATTCAAAGCGCGTCTTGTCCAAACACGCATTGGCGGATTTAAGCACGCTATACTTTTAGATTAAAATTCAGGCTACTCAATATTTCTAGATTTATGCGCAATGACTATAAACCATGTAAATATTACAAGTAGATATAGAATAGTTACTCTTCCCACGCAGTTCATTAATTACATGAATTAAATGTGCACATTTTAACATTGCACAAATTTGTTGTTCTTCTTGAAATTTAATATTACAAGTAGAACTTATGATGGTTAATTTAATATATTTTACAACACTACAAAGTTATTTTTTTCAGTGTGTGAGTGTGTGTGTGTATATAAAATATAAATATAACATAATAAATAGTTTTATGTATTTCATCCAGTATCAGACTGTACCAATTAGGAATAAAAATTATTATAATTTTGTCTAATTCCACATTTTCATGGCATTATTGGTATCATACAGAATAATAAAATAAAAAATTTATTAATAATAAATTAATAAAATTAATCAGTAATTATAGTTACAGCTATAATATTATAGTTTTTTATGTAATAGTTAATAATTTACCAGTGCTCCTTGATATCTTGTTGGAAATTGAAAGCCAGTTCTGCGGAGCAATAACCTTCCATTATATGAAAGAAGAACCTGCATCTATGTGCTTCTCAAGAGCTGGAGCATTTGAATCCCTTCAATAGGCAATCACATCAAAGCTGCTCACAATCATCGACAAAACCCACAGCAGCTCAAGCAAATAAAGCAAATCAACTGCACGATTCCTACCTCACGCGGGGGCCGTTGCGCAATGGCTCTCGAATGGTATGTCCGGGCAATGTGCGGCGGTTAGCTGTGGAATAATCAGGAACTAGGTCATACGGCTCTTCGTCATCTGGGCCTAGACTGCGGCGGTCGTCTTCCAGGCCGTAGGGTTCGGGTTGGAAGCGCTCAGGCTGCGAGCGATTGAGATCCACAGTGCTACTTCCCATTGGGACTTGAGGCTGGGCCACATGGCCATAGTCGTCCTTGCGGATGGGGAGAGTGTAGCTGTTCTCCGGCCGGTATCCACCGGTGGGCATGTAGGGTTGATAGGGCCTGTAATTGACTCCACGAGACAGACTTCCATAGTTGTTGGGCATGTCTCCGTATCCATCGTGAAGGGCGTAATGGCGAAACTGACTGTCTGGAGCATCATTGTAGGAGTCGCTGTAATTGTTGTATGAGCGTGTGAGGGTGGAAGTGGCCTGGGGTGTGATGAAACGCTCGCCATTCTTCATGTAGCGCCGGTCAATGGAGTCAGTGTAGCTTCCCAGTGGAGACGAGCCCTCTGGAAGAGGAAGGCCATCGGGACCCAGTGGCACCTGACGAACTGTCCGTGTTGTCACTGTCTTGACCATCTTAGTGACCTAAGATGATGGAAAAACCAACAGAGTTAGCAAAATTTCAAGTCATAAAAATTGAAATGCAAGTTTGTGCTTTTTATGCAGAACTAGAGTGAGCCATTTCCTGTCTTAGATGCCTTTTGCATGGCTAATACGTGATATGAGGGCCATTCAAAATGCAGCCATTATGTCAGATTGCTCAAATCATAGCAGCCAAAACAACCAAAGGCATTTATGAGTGAAATGCAGCACACTGACTTAGTGGTCTAATATCAGCAAGGAAGTGGATGTCACACTGTGAGCTGGCTGAGTAGCAGTGAAATGACTGAAAATCTTTTCCAGTCTTTTAAAAGGCTTTGTGTTCATTAGTAATGAAACAACTGGAACTGAAAATATAAGGGTTGTGGGTTCTTGGTTGTAGTTGATACTAGTGCTGGGAGGTATACTGGTTCATACCGAATACCGGTGTTTATTTTTGTTATGATATGAATTGTTAAAACACTGCAATACCGGTGTATGTCGCTTAAACAACGTTCGGGATGCGACACTGTTTGAAAGGGGTCCCTTTTCACTGTTGCACTGTCGTGAGGGAACAACTGTATGTGTGACTAAGCGTGAAAGTTCCGAAACTGAAGCTGTAGAACTAATAGAACGTGATGACACAGAAGAACTCATCCACAATATCCACATTGACCGCCACAAATATCCACCGATGGCCCCCTGCCATCAGCTCCCGCGTCAAAATAGGGCATTCTAAGTCAATATACTGCAGTATTTCCTCTCTCAATCAGTAGAAAATATGGTTAACACTTATAGTTATCACTATTCCCCTCCGAGTGCTAATCCAGTCCCTTATTCTACAAAACGTCTGCCTGTCAAGAGGATGGAGTGCTGCTGCTCCTGAAGTTTCAGTGCTGATACAGAAACCAATTTGCTGCTCAGTGAATTCTGCAAAGCAATTAATTGGCTATTTTGTCCATGCCTGTAAATTCATCTTGGAAATTAATGAGCTTGATAAAAATGTATCGTCATTGGAGATGAACCATGACTGCTTGAATTTGTGTGTGAACCCTTACAAGCCACATGGCCAGTTGTCAGTGCGTAATATCTCAAGGGATGTGTCTATGTCTAAAGGGGGAAAAGATCAGTAACTACAGTCACAGCGTGTTCACCTTTACAGACTCCAGTATGGATTTAACCATTGGAGTACACAGTTTTTTGGGGGAACTGCAGTTACTGTAATTTTAACAAACATCATTAAGATCAAAGCAGCGATCTCACTGATGGCAATTTAACTGGGGGAGGTCGACAAACTGCTTTATGGTTGTTTGCAAGTAGGCATTTACACTCGATTGCAATATCCAACTGTATTCATGAGGTGAATTACATGTGCAGCTGTAAGGCGAACTGTCTGCACTCCTACTGGTTGTTGCCAGTGTTGCTTCTCTGTTGCATCTCCAATTGTCTCTGTTGCTCATGCTGTCTCAAACCGGCAACTCAAATAAATGACTAAGTTGCTCCGTTTCTACAAGTCACTGTCAGTGTGAACACCCCTTAACACCCACACATTAAGTTAATATGTTAAAGCAGACACCAATGTGAGACGCAGAAATCATGTTTCACCATTGATTTCTGAACAGTATGGGTTCTTATTATACTGTTTAAGATGATACACTAGGTAGATGGTTGTGCTTCATCGGCCTCTAGAATGCAGGAGCTTTTGAAGAGAAATCATCAGTTCATCAACAGGGCTTTCATAAGTCACATGAGCTCTACAGACGTGTGCGTCTATGATGCAATTTCTTCGGCATGATATTAAAATTTGCTTGAAAAAAAAAACTAAACAAATGCTCTTGGTCTTATTGTGAATAGATCGCTGCTGCACATTTTTCCAAACAAAAAAAGTCATCAAAATATGAATATTTCAATCATAAATTCATCAATAATAATATATTTATTTACATATTTATAAATATTTTTTATATGTGACCCTGGACCACAAAACCAGTCTTAAGTCGCTGGGGTATATTTGTAGCAATATCCAAAAAAACATTGTATGGGTCAAAATGATTGATTTTTCTTTTATGCCAAAAATCATTAGGATATTAAGTAAAGATCTTGTTCCATGAAGATATTTTGTAAATTTCCTACTGTAAATATATCAAAACTATGTTTGATTAGTAATATGCATTGCTAAGAACTTCATTTGGACAACTTTA